CTGTGGAGGGGACTGAGTGGTCTAGGTCCACTGCCTGGGGAGAAGCTACTCATGTAGAGTGAGGGCAGATTGTTGACCAGAGGCTAACTTTGAAATCAGCATGTCTTTAGCACCGTAACTTTGTGCGTAATATCAAAAATGTGTGGTTTTTCTTATCTGTGTGTTGTGTTAGCACTGCAATGCATCTGATTTTTATCAGGCTTACTCAGTTTAAAGCCAGACACACATTCCTGAGAGTTTTGGTCCTGAACAACTCCACCAGGAACTCGATGGGCTGCCTAGGGCACATAACAGCTTGCTCCTTGAAAATGTGACTCCATAATAAAAATCGACTATATGAATCTCATAGTTATTTTTGAGTTTTGGAGGTACCATATAGTGTCTTGAGATGATGTCATCATACATTCCACTTACCAAGCTTTGCCTTTAATAAGATTTTGCAGAATGCTTAGACTTCCCTTTTAGTTACTAATACGTTTCCATATTTTTTCTTCAGAAAACAATTGATATCAATCCTGTTTCTTATATTCTAAGAATCTGCAGATCTTTTGCACTAATGACAGAGTTGTTGCTATCAAAAACACAAAAGTTTAGAGGGATATTTCTTTCCTTTTATTTTACCTGACACTCTGAACCACTAGATGGCCTTAAAAAAAAAATAAAAATTTATTCATTTGTGTTTTACAACTCCTTGGGAGAAATATGGTCTAATGCGTAGTGTGACATTGTTCTTTGTGAGGTTTTGAATGCTTTCAAATAGTCAAGGGAGGATAGGTGAGACACCTGAATTTTGTCTGTGGTCCAGCCCTGATGCTGTTTAAAGTCTTTTGACTTGCGCTGAGCTGATCTCCTGCCTACTCTAACTTTGTCTATAACCATCTGTAGAGTAGCACTAATTTAAGATTAAAGAGAAATAATAATTTGAGGTATTGCGAAGCATTGCTAAGAGCACAGAGCCAATGTAATAGAGCTGTACTAAAACATTTTAACAGATCCCTAAAATGTGAAGCTCTCTCTTGAATGGCTTGGCCTTAAGATACTTGGCTTGTCTTTAAGGCGAACTTCTGCTTTTGTGGTTGAAAGAGCGGGAGAGGAGAAACAGAAAAAAGAATCTTTTGAAGACTCCAGTGATAAGCCTCCAGGGCACAGGCTGGTTTAGAAGCAGACTGTTTGTAGCCTGAAGCTAGGTTGCAGTGATATTTGCAGCTTCCTTGTTTCCAGTTTTCCTTGCTTTGCCTTCAGACTGATTGTAAGCATATGATTTAACATAACCTGTCTTCAGCTGCATAAAACTGATATGCCTAGGCTAGGACAATCACTTGGTCTCTCTTTATAGTCACTGAAGTGAGATAGATTTGATTTTAACACCAGTGTTTGAATAAGATGAATTGCCTGTTGGAGACATGTAGATGTCCCCATTGGCTCTCGTGGAAAACTAGAGGATAATGATCTGTAGCTAAGTTGCTTGATTTTTAGATGGCTGAAGTTAAGTGCAGTGAATCTCACCCAGAGCATCTTTATTTGCTAACCTTGATTCTTCCATCTGAAGAACAAAGAGCTCAGCAATGAGGAGCAACCCTAAATCCTCTACTTTCTCCAGAATCCTGTTCACTATGATGCAGCTTTATTTTTTCTAGAAATACTTTTCTGCAGTTTTATCAACTTGTATATTGCCATTGTCACTTCAGTTACCTTGAAAAAAGCCTGGATAATTATTGCAGACAGAAGGAGGGCACTAGCCCCTTCTTGTGTTGTTTGACCAAAACAGATTTGTTAAGGACCTTTTTCTCCCTGTGTTTTGTATATTTAATGTTTGGGGGAAAGTTCTGCATAGCATTGCTCTAAACTTCGATTAGTGTGACTGTGAATGCACTGAAATTCCTTTGGGATCATCCATGTGAGTTCTGTGGTTTTCATTTGTACCTTGACTGTTTATGTTTTAAATGGGAAAAGGTGAGTGTGATGTCTTATGTGGTTTCACTTAAACAGTGACATAGAGCAACCTTCCCTCACCTCACCAAACACAAACCGTTTTGTTTGAGAACATGCTACAGTGCTTGTGCTAAATTTTGTTAGAGGCAGTTTGTAGCTGTATTAATACACATCATTTTAATGGTCTTTCATCCTGGGAAGGTCTGGCACAGACATAGAAATTGAATTTTCTTGTGAAGACATGTAGGGCTGCTTGGTCTGTGTTGAGGTTTTTATCAGCAATAAACTGTGAATAGAAGCAACCAAAAAGAAAACAAACAAGAAAAAAGAAAAAAAAAAAAAGAAAAAAATTGACATGGAATGGTGTCCTTTTTCCAGAGGCTAACCATTAGTTCTCCTTAGGGTCTTTCTTTAACTCTGCAGATATTCCTTCCATGTAATTTTTTAAATAGATGCCTCATTACCTTCGATCTTCGTTGACTTCAATTTCTGTGCCAGTGGTTCACAGAGCTGCTTGTTCCCTCCTGACCGTTTTCACTGCAGTCATTTTGCCCAGCCCTCCTCCAAATTTTGTTAATATATTATTGCCAAAAAATTGACTTGATATGTTTCCTGAAAATTCTGTTTTCTCTCACATGAATCAAGCATCTGGCTATTTGTATGGACAAACTTTTGGCTAAATCTTCTACATGCAGATGTAGTACAGTACACCTTTTATTTTCACAATAAAAATTTTCTGCCTTTTAGCTTTCCTGATTCTGACTTGGTGGTGATGAGAAACATTTTTGTGGCCTGTTATCCCATATCTGTCAGCTGTCCTTTCATCTCTTCATATTTCTTCCTGGCTCTCCATAGATGTATGAGGCATTTTTGAATAAGACCATTCATACTTAAACCATAGTTAATTTTTCTTTTGCCAGTTTTCACTCTTGTCCCATTTCAGTAACCTTGGAGCTCACTGGAATCACACAGAAAAACCTATTTGGGGGCCTATTTACCTACTTGGAGAAGTAAAGGCTGGAAAAGACTCCATGATCCTTATTTTAGGGGAGATGTTCTTGTCTGGAGGCTTCCTAGCTTGTAAATGTTTCTATAATCTTTTTTCAAAAGATACTTCACTTGATATCTTTATCAATTTGAGAGGTTAATACTGCACTGTTTCTTTGAATATTTATTGTACAATTAATGTTTCATGGAGCAGTTTGTATTACAAAGTGATCAGAAACTTTTTGGTCTCCTCTCTCTTGTCCTGATGGGACAGGACGAAAAAAGAAATAAAAAATCCTTTAGTCAGATGTAGTGAGTCTCCATAAAAGCATATAAGTTCTTGTACTAATTGCTGGTAATCTATTAACAAAAAGTGTACCACATTCATCTTATTAATGCAAGGGCATGTTATATTCCCTTTCCATTGGAAGTTCCCCCACTCTTAAATGGACTTAGTCTGCAGGGTTCACATATTAACTGTGCAAAAAAAATTGCCTTTTCTCAGGTGCAGCTTCCTTGAATAATTGGTTTGTGATGTGTCCCTAGTATGGGTTTGGGGTGTCTTTCTCCTGCTTTTTAATATTTACATAAACATTTTTACCTGGAACCTTACAAAAAAAAATAAAATCCCATTAACTTGTAGGATGTTCTGTTGATGTTTAAATGGTATATGTTGCACATTCAGTTTCTGATATTTTTCAGCAGCACGTGTACGTGCATTTGGGATATAGGCTGGGCTGTCAGTATTGTGCATGCATAGCCATGGGAACATCTGGTGCCTTCTGAGATAGGAATAACAGAGCTGCTGTATTAGGTGAGATGTGTCTAGGCTACTGGGATGTTCTAGTGGTGTTTTGTTGTGTTCCGTTGACTTAAAGATTGTCAGGAAAATAAAATGTCATTGCTTAATTACATCAGGAAAATGAAATGTCATTGTTTAATTACATCTGACTTCAGTAATGTTTACACTTAATTACAGGAGAGAAGAACTTCAATATACTAATAATGTAAAGAGAGCAGATGACAGTGAAATATTACTGGATTTGCAGGAAAGATGGTCCTGCTAGCTTTGCAATAATCTGTTTCTGAATTCTGAAAAGTAAAATTATGACTGGGATTAGATTTTTGAATTTCATCACTTTTCTTCTCGTTATTTGGAATCCAGAATGATACTTCATGCTGTTAATACCTGCTGTTTTTCAAAAATGCCAGTGGCATCAGAAAAATGATTATATGGCAGGATGGCTTTCTTTTTTATTACAAAAAGTCACAGGCACAGTCTCTGTCAGCCAAATAAAGAATAGAAAATAAGGAAGAAATAGCTCTTGTAGTTCAGAATAAGGGGCTTTGGTGGATTTTTTTTTATTATGCCAGCCATTTATAGAACAAAATATGCATATTTTGCTTCAAGAAAGAGTACTATGGGTAATAATAATACATGACTCGTTATTTGGGATATAAAAGAGTAGATGTTACAAAAATAAATAATAATGAGTGAAAATAAGAATAATAAAAGCAGTGAAACGATGTCAAAGCAAGCATAAGAGGTAGGATGATTAAGAGTAAGGCAGGCTGTTAGAGACTTGCATTTAAAGGAAAAAGGTGACATGTGAACTTGAAACTAGGAATGAAATTTAATTTGGCTGCTCTGTGACTCTGTGTTCCCCAGCCCTGCAGATCACGCTGTGAATTATTAAAGTCACTGTGCTTGATTTATGATACTTTTGCTTACTAGAGGGAACTTGAAAGACTGGCATTTCACATCATTTCAGGGGGGGGTCCTTAAAATGTGGAGAGATTTCTGTGGGCTCTGCAAAAATACCGAACCATATATTTACTAAGGGATTTTCAAATGCCTTTGTTATTTTAATCTCTCTTGTTTTGTTAACAATATGGAACAGGATGGAGAATAATTCATTTGTGTTTATTTATATTTTCAAGAGAACCAGAACATTTTTCCCCACGTTAGCAGAATTTCTTAGAACCTAAGTAGGACAAATTGACTAATCTGCTCCTCAGAACTAACCAAAGCTGTTACATTTCTTTGGTGTTTATTCTGTATTTTCTGTCTTCTCTTTTAGGTGGCCAGTGCTTCTCCTGGGGATGGAACGAACATGGGATGTGTGGTGATGGCACAGAAGCAAATATTTGTGTCCCGAAGCCAGTCAAAGCTCTCAGTTATGCAAAATTAATTGGATGTGGGGCAGGACACTCCATGGCTCTTTGTCAAACTCCACATTAGACTTAGCACACCTGGAATCATAACATCATGGATGTGTGTGGACCTTTTTGGGTTGCTCAGAAGAGCTACAAGAGAATTGCCCATGATTAACACAATAGTTGGAAAGCGCAGATGTTTTTTCTAAGTCTGAAAGGAACAACTATGGATTGAAAACTATAATACTTTAAAAATTGTTTCATGGGTTCTGTCACAGGAATTGACTTTCTTACCCATAGATAGAATTACAAACATTTTGTCTCGAAGCAAAACAACTGAAGACAGATTTACTACTTATTCTTCTGAGAAGTCTTTGGGGAAGAAACCAACTTGTTAATCACTTATCATTGGTGTATAAATTCAGTCTGAGGAAATGGTCTGAGAAGGTGGTCTTTTGTTATTGTATCTTTACATCACTATAAGCATATGTTGCACCTGCCAACTTCTGCTGGAGTTGTGAGCTCCCAGCAGCTCAGAAAATCGTTTGTATCACAAAGAAATACCAGTGAACATAAATAGATGCATACACACAGTTTAAACAGAAGATCAGGATAAAAAAAAATGGTGATATAATTTAGAAGGCTGGTAAAAGGGGGAAACGAGACCCTTTTGAACTAGCTTTATGTTGATTAAACTGTGAAAGGAGCAGTATTTCTGATGTTCTGTGCCAGGCATCAGTTTATTATAGATTTACAGGGATGCAAATCTGTGTGAATTATCATTAACTTGCAAACCATACCTGAAGTTTCTGAAGCTACTGCTTAGGGAAGAAAAAATTTTAAGAGCTCTTGGAAACAATCTAAAAATTCTTATCAAAGGGCCTAAGTCAGTTGTAGCTGTCAACAACAGTTTGATCGGACGTAACTCCTGTATTTCCAGCTGCCTTTGAATAGGAAGACATCAAAATCTAACCAGAAAGATTTTACAAGTTCTCCAGCCTAAAAGGCACACCAAAATAATCCTGATGGTTTCAGGTTAGTTCTCACTTCGTTTCACAGCCCAGCTGAGTTACTGTTCATGGCATGCCCACAGTACTTGTTCCAGGTGAGTGCTTGACAGAGAACGTAGGCCTAACACTTGTTTTGGTAGGAGAAATGAAAAAGTATAAAATAAAATATCTTCAGATATTATTAGCTGCCTATGCTGAGCAAAATTTTGGAAGCTATTTATAAAACTGGTTTTTTCACTCAGATACATTGGATGCTATTAAACTGGGTGTTTACCACCCACAATACTTACATTTGCTGTGGTACTCAATGTATTTCAAGTTCTAAATATAGAGAGTTCTACTGTGTGGTAAATGCACCTTTTAAGGAGACCTACTGTTGCTAAACACTGGTTTACTTTTTAAAGCAGGCTTGCCAGGGAAGAAGCCTTTCAGAATTAAAAAATACTCAGAGAAAGGCTCTTGGGAAATAGGACAGGAAGACTTTCTAATGATGTGTCAGTTTACACATGAAGGGGAAGGAATTAAGCTGATAATATGAGCTGCAAGGGTTTTTTTGCCCTTGGTTTTACAGCAATTAGAGTTCATGGCCTCATTTTCAAAGGTATTTTATTTTTCCATTTGATGGATGAGAAACTTGAACAGACTATGAAGTGGATTTTAGCTATTATAGATACCAAAAGAATTGGTAAGAATAACCAAATGGATCCTCTGCAAAAAGTGTAAAATCGAGACTTGTTTTGTAAGGTGGGTTTTTTAACCCATGTATTGGTTGTGGTTCTTCATGGCAATATATTGTTTGAGGCTGTGACTTCTTGTACTTTTACTTATCTAAGCTGGTATTTATTGACTGTCCGCAGTGCCATTTTCAGAATACCAGAGCATCTCTACTATATGCACTGAACAGTTTCTCATGTTTTTTTCGACAGTCCTGTCTGAGGTTTCTACTTCTGTTTTTCTCCAAAACCTGTGTACCAAATAAACATGTTACCCCATTTCAGTAATCGTCCTCTAAACAATCCTGTTCCTTCATTAATCACAGCTAGTATGCGTGCGCTGCATCGGGGTTACTGGGCTGGATGTGTTTCGACTGGGTTTGCTGTTGCTGCAGTTCATTTCAGAGGACTCCAACAGATTATGTAACAAATAAATGTGAGTTGGTTATTTGAAATGTTTTTCAGTTTTTCAAACCTGTAACATGAACTCACTTTTGGAACACAATGAATGATTTGGGGTGATAAGGTGAGGAAAGAAAGAAGTACTTTGGTTTGTTCCTTGCGCTGACCCACATCTGATCTTCATCTTTGAAAGGCAAGAACTTCATTTTCTCTCCTTTGTTCTGCCTATGTAGATGGAAAATTTTGGGAAGTACTGAATGCTCTGTTGGTCAGGACTTCTAGATGCTGCTGTAGTATGAAGAGCGAATAGAATTCTTTTTAGAAGGGACATGGTTGACTGTCAAAACCATGTTGTTGCTCATTCTTTCAGAAATTACTGCCCTGTTTAGTAGCTTTGTTTGCAGAATAAAGCACTGTACAAAATCAGTTAAGGCCTTCTCTGTAAGGAAGGGAGCACATAGTCAAAAGCTCCTAATCAAGTGGGAAAAAAGCTCTCTTTGCTGGTGTCCAGAGCTTACGACTGCTACCTGTTGATGTCCTGATGGAGAAGGTCAGTCTCTGCAAGGCAAAATGCAGAACCAGTGTGCTATGCCCATGCTTCTGCAGTTCATACAGAGTTCTTTGAGCAGCTCTTTTGTGATAAACAAAGCAAACCTTTTATATAAGCATTCTGTGCTCAGGTTCAGATGCAAATGAACTGACAAGGTTTATAACATATGTATTTATAAAAAGACACTGAAACAAGGTAAGCAAGTGTCTGTGCAGTTGCTCTCCCCTCACTTTTTCGAAGATGAGCAAACCCCCCAGTGAGCTGACATTCTTGACGGAGAACAAGTTGTAAGCTTTTGACCTTCAGTCCAGAGAACTTTCAGGGTCTTGGGCTGTAGGGGGGAGAAGGAAGCTGTTGTGAGCTCTTCTGTTATTTGAAATCCTGGGAGTTCTGTGGCTGTTACTCATGCAGCCTCCAGAGGCACCTGCGCAAGACCCTCCTGTTCCATTTTAAAGAAAGTCAGTAGGACGATGTGTGTTGTGAAACTTGGACAGAAGTTTCTATATCTTGGAGGATTTTTTGGCCTACCTGATGGTCACTGGTGTTATTTGACTTTGTGTAGAATGCCTGAGTGACTTGATGCTTTTGTGCTTAGAAACCCTGTATTCAAACTGTGTTCATTTGAAAGAAGAATTGAATCCTGCCTTTCTTCTGGTTTGCCCAGTCACCACTTCTTATATGACACTGGTTGCCATCTGCAACCATCATAAAGGTCACTTCTGCATGAGTGACAGGAGATTTTGTTCAGCTACATGTTTTGAGCACAGAGAAATTGGGGGGAATGGGAAGATTTCATTGTGCTTTATGACATGTTTTGAGTTATAAGACTGAGAGATGAAGATGGAAAACAGATGAAGGAGATCAGTTTGAATGTACAGGAGAAAGGTGACCTGGAAAAATATTTAAATGAATGTCAATAGAGAGCCTGACATAGTCAGCTAAAACATAGGGAAAAGGATGGGGAAGACAGAGTCAAGATACAGGTCCTGAAGACTGAGTAATCTCACAGGTGTAGCAGCATTCCAGCCTGTCAGTGTGGTGGGAGTGAGATGAGAGACAAGCTATTCTGTTTCTTGGATGTTATTGTTCCCCCTGTTCCACTGTTTATTAATAATAATGTGAATTATTGCCGTGCAATTGTGGTGGGTTTTTTCCTCTTTTATAGCACATCTTGAAATTTCCAGTTCTCCTCAGGTGAAACAGCAACATTTGTCCTCACCTTCCAGTCTCAGAAATTTTTTGATCAGGCCTGTGATCTAGTCCAGCATTTAATCAAATACTTACTATTTTTTCTATTCAATTTCATGAACTCTGGATCTGATTTAAACAAGACTTAAGTAATTTTGGGACTTCCAGTTCCTTTTCTCCTGTATTAAAAATCAAGATGATGACAGATCTTTGTCACTGAAATTGCAATGTCATGTTTTCACCAAAAAGTCCCGTGTTCTCTTATCAAATCTTGTACTTTTTCTTTTAGCTAGATATTTTCTTGAAAAGTACTCCAGAATTTTTCATCAGTAGTTGAGTCATGCTTCTGCTATTTACTACCAGCTTATAGTTCAGAGCAGGTGAAAATCCTGTAAAGGTAAAAAGAAAATACTGAAGCAGAAGGCGAAAGTCTTGCTTCCCAAAGGCCTGGAATGGATGGAGTCTGGGGTTAGAGAATCACCTTGTGTGGTTTTGATTGCACTTCAAAATGCGCACAGTGGAAAAGTGGTGTTTACACCAAATTCGCTGAAAAGTCCAGCTAACACAAAAATAATTTGTACATTTTAACTTTTCACATATTTATATCTTGATACATATGCAAAAAAGTGGTAGTACATGCTTTGTTTTTTTTCTTTTAGCTTTTGTTCTATTCTTACTTCCTGATAATTGCTCATCTTACTTGGTTTCCTTCATGTTAGAAAGAATTATTTAATTAAAATGTTTTGGTTTTATAGAAAATGGCCTTCTGTTGTATGAATATAACTGAAAATGGAGGTCTTTATCACATGTGCCTTTGAAGTTAATTTGAAGAAACTGCATGCGTAAAACCATTGTTACTTTGTAACCCGTTTAGATGTTGAAGGACTGAAGTCAGGCACATTCTTGAGCTATTTGTGCATTTCATTCAGGTTCATCTGTCAGATGTCTCAGCATTCACCTGTTTTTAATGCAGAGACAGTTTTTACTCATCAGTGCCTCTGTAGAACATCAAAATAGAGTATGTGACTGAAAATATGCAACAGTGAAAACAGTCTCTGTGTTTGAATCATGGCCTGGATGAACCACGTTTCCTTGTGGGAGACTGAGGAAGCATAAATTTAGAGTATTGGGAAAACATATTTTTCAGCTTGGTTGGAAACAAGAGCAACAAAGTAATTATTCCTGAATAAAAGCTGGCTGGGGGATGAGGAAATGCAGGGGTGACGTTTGTTTTGCAAAATTTCCTCGGGCTTTTTTGTGACATGTTGGATTTTGTCTCATTTTCAGATGAGCCTTTGCAGGTTGGGAGGGAGCCATGTCTAAGTCCAGTTCCCATGTTGGCCAGCCTCTCACTCAGTTCATTTCCACCTTTGTAATCTGTTTGCAGCTTGCTTTGCCTGTGGGCCACCTTGTTATTCAGATGCTATGCAGTCTTTGGGGGAGTTCTGTCTGCGGGTTTTGGGATCAAGATTCGAAATTGCAGAATTTCAATTCAGTATTATTCAAATACTCCCTGGTCATCATAATCTTTTAAGTGTATGTGAACATTTCGCTATAAGACTCTGGGTTTACCTTTTTTTTTTTTTTTTTTTTTTTTGTATTAAGAAGAGAGGCCAAGAATTGGGAGACTTTTAATGTTCTGACATGCCTTTAGTTTTTGGCTGCAAATGTCAAGTGAGTTTAGCTTTTGTTTTGTTTTTTACTGATTTGAATGCATAAAGACATGTGGTACCTAAATTAGGGCAGCAGAGGAGTTGCCAATCAGTAATGAAAATGCTCTGTCATTTTAACTGTGTGGGTGCTTAATAATTTTCCGTAATAATCCTCTGCTTTAAAGCACAGAAGAAAAGGGATTACTATAGGAGTATTGTGCTCTTCTGCAGACAAGGAAACATGGCATCTTTCAAATAATGGAGAGACGCTTCTCTCCTCTGTTGCCTTAATTCTGAGTAGATAGATTATAATAACTATTCCTTTTTAAATACTGCCTTTCCTCTTTTGACATCAGAACACTTTAAAAAAAGGATAATGTCATAGAAACAGAAGCTGAGGCACAAAAGATTGAATTGCCCCAACCAAGATAATCCAGCATGTCCACAGTGGAGTCAAGAATGAAATTCCCATTTCCTGAGTCCCGGCCCAAAGTTTTACCTTCTAGGCTAGTGCTTTTTGATGATTTTTTTTGCCACTCTTTCCTTCTCTCCTTGCTCTTCTTTCCCCCTCACTACTGATTGCTGTTTCCATCACTCCTACTTGCATAACCCATTTTCCAAACCCATCCTCTGTCCTCCTCATTTCCCGCTTCTGCTACTGCCGCCTCTTCTCCAGCCACCCACTTACACTGACACCACCCTGGCAAAGCGTGGCTCCAGCGGAGCTGCTTTGCTTGGGCTTAAGCCATGTCTCCTGTTGTGCTGGTGTGACTCACAGTCAGCAGCCTCTGCACAGACTGTGTTGTCCCTGCTAAGCCCTTTGGGATCTAGAAGCTGTGCAGGTACCTTAGAGTGACAGCTGAGCTAATACAACTGCAAGACTTTGCCTTTTGCTGCCTAACGAATCTCTAACCTGTGCTTCATGGGCAGCAGAAAAAACAGTGGAAGCCTTGGAGCACACGCTCTTAATATTTGGTACCTGGAGATGTTTGGACCTCTATACTTTTGCATAAAGTTTTTTCAATGTTCAAGTGAATGCTGAGGGTTGAAAACCTGACTTTGCCAGCTTGAGCCAGGGAATATGTCTTTCCATGGGGGCATGTGAATCTGCTTAGTTTTAAACCATTTGCTTTGTCAGATAAAGAAAGTCAAGAGGTGCAGTTCTGGATCCCTTTTCTAACTTGAAGTTCAATTTGAATTCAAATATTGTTCTTGATTGCAAATAAACATTTGTATTTCCCTAAGAGAAAAATGGAGCACCCTGCAGTCCTAGATGAATGCAGAGGCTTTGAGACTTCTGAACAGATAGATATTTTATGCTCAAACTCAAGTAAGTGAGTGACCCAAAAATAGCCTGCATAATTTAAGCATGTTTTCATGAAGAGAAGGTAGTTTGTGTGTGAGCTCAGAGACAAAGTTCCTTCCAGGATATATATGGAAAGCAGAGAGGTAGGCTGCCTTGTTTTGAAACTAGGAAAGGGATATGCAAACTGGCAGGGTAATAACTGCACTTGTCTTTTTCTTCAGGACATCTTTTTTTGTAAGCAGCTCTGTGCTCATTTCCTTTCTGAATGCCCTTGCCTTAGTCCTGCTTGCTCTCTTCTGTATTTCAGTCTGCTCATTTGTCCTAGCAGCCATTTGTTTCAGTGAAGTATTTTCTTTT